CGCACGAATACAGGAACGTGATGATATAGCAATTTACAAACCGGAACCCTGTATCCCAGGTACTCATAAAATCGGTAGAAGTTTTGGACCTTGTGTGATGTGTTCGGCTGGTACGAAAAATAATGGTAGTGCTGGAGAGATGTGCGCCAGATGTACGGTAAATGATACATCATGGTGTTTTGCTGCTGCTATTAATGAAGTCGATATGACGAACATCACAAGTTATGATCAGGCGATTCCTTATCCAGAGTCGCCCCATACAACAGGATTCGATGATATACTTCTTCAAAATATTTTTCAAGTGTCCGTCACGAAACTGCATTGTCTTCTTATTTCACCCATTTTCTGGACATTTGTTGCGATAAGCAGCTGTTTAATCATTTTTATTATTATCAAACTTCTTTCATGTCGTTTGAAATCTCAAAAGCGAAAACGATTCCTTGAAAACATCCTATCTCATTGCGATGTGATCGGCGAAGGAAAGCACTGGTTGGGTGGACTGATATCATTATCACTACTTGTTCTTATCACATTTGCTTGTAAGTTCAGTATATCATTTAGTAATTTGTATCCAATCGAAGACACATCATCGGATGAGCGACTAAGTACATCATGCGATGATTCGCTATTCAATGCCCAATTCACCAGTTCTTTACAGTTACTATCAACACTCAAACATGAAGACGAAAAGCCGATATTTGCCTTACTCAACAAGCAGAAAATCACTTTGACTATTCAATTAATTAGTACAGGTTATAAATGCAAAGATGTAGCATTGCAACAAATTCGAGATCGTGGACTGAACACACCATTCACCAATTTCAACTGTTCGGAGACTAATGGAATATTGACCATTGCTAAACTATTACCACAGCATGTTATCACTTTGGAATTGGCTTTAAACGGGCCACATTTTGTCGGTGGACTTCGTCTCTGCTTTTTAGCACCTTTAGCTACAAATGTCAGTACTCATTCAAAGGCTCAACAAATGGATACTTGTCAATTCTTTTTCACTCCAAATGAAACATTAACAAGGAATCCAACAGTAAATGTCAAAATGACTAAAGTGATCAATCGAACTGTTGGCTTGATGATTCCTAATAATACAACATACACAGGCCTTTGGTTATCATCTTTCATGACCGATACTCTCACGGATGAACTACTCTTCTCGCGAGATGCTGAATATCTTCGTTATGTACCCGAAAAAACTATTCTAGTTGTAGTGATAACTGAATCTGAATTCTATATGAAGAATACACAAGAGCCTATTGCTCGTTATTATGAGATCGCGTTTAATACAGTTCTATTTGCAAGTAAGACTTTAGTAGTAATGGCTCGTAGCAATGATCGAAAATCGTCTTATCAAAATACTATATTTAAGTCGAGATATTCATATCTGAATAATGGAGGACAGAAACTAAAATAGTAGAAAGACAACCATTAGAAAAATCAAAGGAGACAAATCCCAAAACGTCGATGTTTCTTGAGATCCTGCTCTACAAAGTTATAGCCATTTTACTTGAGTTTTAGCCTATGGCACGGTATGTACAAACAAATCGACTGGCAATATTTCGATTTGAAATTTTGTTCACAGATAGGTCTACTTGTAATTAGAATGCTCTGAAAGTTTCAGCTCAAAAGAATGTTTCCTTTGTAAGATATTGAATGTCGATAAAACATAAGATTCTCGCATCTTTTATGAGATCCGAGTGATTTTTGAAAATTCAATATCTTGGGGAGGAAATATTCTTTTGAGCTGAAATTTTCAGAGTATTCTAATTACAAGTAGATCTATCTGTGGATAAAATTTCAAATCGAAATACCGCTAGTCAATTTGCTTGTACATATCGTGCCATAGGCTAAAACTCAAGTAAAATGGTTATAACTCTGTAGAGAAGGTCTATGAGCCCGAATCCTTTTAGGATTATTCTATTCTAGAGGTCCCCTCTATACGCCCAAAATATGAGCTCAAAAGCGGTGAATCATTTCGGGTACTTCCCTCGTAAGGCAATAGGTAAAAATATGTATGTGTACATATTCATTTTAGTGTTATGCTTGGACTTATTCGGACTTACATTTTTGATCTTGAAACTGACGATTATTCCTCTCATTCGGCTCGTGCAAAAACGCTTTTTTAAGAAAACAAGAAACAGTCGATTGCCGAAGAGAAACCGAAAGAAAGGTACCACAACGTCTAATCTAGCCGACGCTACAGGCTACACTTCAATACAACCACTAACTGCGACAATTGAACATTCTCTCAGCAACAGCAGCACAACAATTTTCACAGATCATAAAAGCTTATCTGTGCAGCCGAAGTACTGATATTGACTACTTCATACTTATCATGTTTTGTTGTTTTTCAAAGATGAAAGAAAAAAAAAGAACTGAATATCGATTACTTAGCTCTGACATTGAATCTCAAGCAAGATGAATAATCCATTTCTTGGTCATTTTATAAATGCATACTTGAAACTGCCTACAAATTCTGTTGGCATTGGTCAACGAATACTTAGCAAAGATAGCAAAAAAAAGGCACATCTGCGATTCTCGTGAATAATTTAAGTATTAATAGCATAGGGTGTGGGTGTGGGTGTGGGGTGTGGGTGGGTGTGGGTGTGGGTGTGGGTGTGGGTGTGGGTGTGGGTGTGGGTGGGTGTGGGTGGGTGTGGGGTGGGTCTTCTTCTTCTTTAAACCGACACCCACACGCTTTTTGTGTAATTTACCTGTAGAAAATATGCTGATGTTAGGTGGTAGCGCTATCTCTCACCACTACGTTCCCTTTCTTTTCACTGTCTTTATTCTTTTGTCCGTTGTTCATCGTATGATTGGAAAATACGAATGGCTTTTTGTCTATGGCTTCTTCATGATTAACCTTTGTGATATATTATTGGATTGGTAAGAAATTTTCGTCGTTTTTTTTCGTAACTTCTTAGAACAGTCAAGAAAGTTCTAGAATTTTACATATTGAGGGTATATAAAGGGAGTGTAAATATCTTTCGAACAACAATAAAACTATGGATATACAGGGTGTCCCAGAAGTAACGGAACAAGAAGGGTATCCGCTAAAATTGAACGAAAAATTATTTATGATAGTTTGCGCACTTTTTATTGATGTAGAAAGCTGAAACTTTTATCACATACGTATCTAACCAAGATCTTTTATTTCTGAAAATTTCAGCTCTCTATATCAATAAAAAGTGCGCAAACTATCATGAACAATTTTTCGTTCAATTTTAGTGGATACCCTTCCTGTTCCGTTACTTCTGGGACACCCTGTATATCCATAGTTTTATTGTTATTCGAAAGATATTTACACTCCCTTTATATACCCTTAGTATGTAAACTTCTAGAACTTTCTTGACTGTTCTAGGAAGTTACGAAAAAAAACGACAAAAATTTCTTACCAACCCAATAAAATTCAGAAAATGTTTTTATAAAAATGATTAGCAAAAAAGCTCTACAAAGTCTGATAGACGGAAAAATTTTCTGAATACCTTTCTGTTTTTTTGTGGTTGTTTACCTATGGAACTACCCAGTAAGATATTTTATTGATTGATTTCAAAAAATTTATCTTTACATTCTCCTGTTTATATTTTTATCATTATAAGAGAAGATATCATCCAATAATATTCCATTTGAAAGAGCGTCACGAATGCTCAAACTTCATATGAAAACATTTGGTTCGAGATTACTTTGCGTTTGCATAAGAACCAATTTTTGTCGCGCCTCAAAACTTATGCAACACTCTGTAAACCCAGACTCACACTCAAAGTGACAGCGTCACAAAATAATTTTCCTGCGAAAGACCAAAACAAAACGGGTCGCTATCTGTTCCATACTCTCATGATCTATCAAAATCTGATAACAAACCTTCCAGAAAAAGATCTAGAGCAGTTCCAAAGGATAAAAGCAATAAGCAATAAATTCCATCTATTTCATACTCGCACAGTATGCGGAAATTATACATATTCCTTTGATGGTTTCAGAAAAAAAATATTATGCCTACCTAACATACCCCTTTATTTAAGTTGAAGCGGTGTGGTAGCGCAAAGCTACACCCGAAGAGCTACGACCAATGCATATCTCTGTGTACACAGCCCAATTCATCTTCATTTACAAAAAACATTCCAATATTTCAATGATAGCAAAACAAATTCATTGTCTAGATTTTAAATCAAATGAAGAGGGTCACTCAATACAAAAAAATTAATCATTTGTTGGAAAGAAAAAATCGTTTCACACCAGAGTGTAGATAAAAGTTTATTTTGATACTTCCACAATGAGACACAAGCATTAATCGACCAATCTCAGAAGAAACTCAAGCAAACTATAGAAAGCCTACAAAACGCATTTTTCAATTCATTCTAACATTACTCAATGTAATAACAGTTTAGAATTAACTTTGTTTTGATTCTTTCGAGAATTAAAATAAGTACCATCTCATTATCCTGGATGCACAGGTGAAATGTTAATATTATGATTGCTCAACACATCCACGCTCTTGTCTTTCGATCTTTTTTCTTCGAGATTTTATTCTTTGATCTTTTTCCTTTCGAATAATTAACGCTAATTTGAAATTATCAATTCGTAATATGATCCCTTCAAACAAAACTTATTCAAGTTCACTAAACGAATAACTTTAAAGTAATATAATTAATCTTTTCAATTACTTCGAATTGATTTCAAAAATATTTCTTTCATACATTAATTTCAAAATAGATTTTTAATTTACTCTTTAACATGAACAAAAATAAATCGATAGGATAAACACTACATTACAACAAGTATATGTTTCCATATCTATTGAGCTGCTTGATAGTTGACTTTTAACGAATTTGCTATTTCTATATGATAGTAGGTCAATTTATCTTAGATTGAAAATATTCTTTTATTTTATTAGTCTTAGTAAAGTGAATATGCAAAAGAATCACGCATATGTTAATCAAAATATGTTAATATGTTATCATAAAATAAAGAAGAAACTCAAAGTCAATTTATAGTCGTCCGAATTTGATCACATTTTTGCCAGCTTCAGTGACCGCATACAAATTAAGATTCGAGTCCAAGGCAACAGCTACTGGCTTATCAAGTCTAGGCGATGTACCAGTATCTGCAGCAACTACAATACCAACTGTTGAATTCGCACAAAACATTACTATTCGATCGTTGTCCCTATCGGCAACATACAGATTACCATATAGATCATAAGTCATGCCTCTTGGTTTGTTAAGAGTGTTTTTAGTAGTATCATTTACTTGATTAAAAGTCGCCGGCGAACTAGCTGCGCCACTTGTCCATGAGTATATTACATCTTTGTCGTCTCTAGTTGTATATATTTTATCTGTTGAAGTTGGCGATATGACAATGTCAATTGTATGATCTAAGTCGTTGTCGCTTAGCCAAATAGTGCCACTGACTGCGTTTGGAGTCCATTTCATTATACGTTTGTTGCCTTTATCAGCAATATAAATATTAGAATTCGAATCAACAGCAACTGCCTGTGGTTTATTCAAACCGACCAATGTATTTGCTGCAGTTCCGGTTCCTGCGACAGTGGTACCGTTATTAGAACCAGAAGGAAAGCGTTGTACCCGATCATTGTCAGTATCAGCTACATACATATATCCATTTTTATCAAAAGTAACGTCCTCCGGATGGTTAAGTAATACTGAGGTTGAACCCGAAGCGCTGGTATTGCTACCTGCTACTACCACACCATTTGATGAACATTGGTCCCATTCTTCAATATTATGGCCATCTTTGTCACAAACATAAACAGAATCATTTGCATCAATATACAATGCCAGTGGTTTATTAAAACCACTAGCAAAAACCACACCTGTTTGATTCCAATTAAGGTCTCTGCCTAAAAGAATCAATAACACAGCATAATATGTTAATGATTAATCGGTAAGTTACTGACAAGTATTATTCACTGTTGAGCTTGTTATTGCTATAAAAAAAAGAAACAAAAATCATTGTCGAGTAGTAATTTTACTTGAAAATATACTTTGAATGCAGCTTTGCGTAGTTGTTGTTGTGGTAGTAGCTTCAATAAATAAATGAAAAAAAAAACATACGTTTCATTACTCATTCTGAAGGAAGAACATTTTTTCTTGTTACTTGTAGTCGAACTTGTGGTTGTTGATGTTGTTGCTTCAATAAAACAAAAATATAGTCAAACAGAGATATCAAGTCACAGTGCACTTATCCTTACATGAAGATGTCGTGCTTGTAGTTGTCGTTGTTGCTTCAATAAAACAAAAATATAGTCAAACAGAGATATCAAGTCACAGTACACTTATCCCTACATGAAGATGTCGTGCTTGTAGTTGTTGTTGTTGCTTCAATAAAACAAAAATATAGTCAAACAGAGATATCAAGTCACAGTGCACTTATCCTTACATGAAGATGTCGAACTTGTAGTTATTGATGTGCTTGTGCTTGAACTTGTTGATGTTGTTGCTTCAATAAAACAAAAATATAGTCAAACATAGATATCAAGTCATAGTGCACTTATCCTTACATGAAGATGTCGTGCTTGTAGTTGTAATTGAAGTAGTTGTTGTATCTGTCATAGTAGCTTAAATGAAAAGAAAAGTAAATTATGATAAATTTATATGACATTCGAACTTGCACTGGTCGCTGTTGTGGTTGTTTCTTGAAAAATAATCATGACTGTTTATCATCAATTTTCTTTTTTTACAACTTACCTGTTGTAGTCGTTTCTGTGTTTGAGCTTGTTGCTACCAAAATAAACAAAAATTTATCATTTGTTTAACAAAAAATGAAACGAATTAGAAGCGTTCTGATATCAATGTTCTCGACAAAAATATTTATCAGTAACGCAACAACTCCCTAAGCCTCGCTTAGCTCAATCCTGAAAGCAAGAAAAAATAGTATAGAACATTGACTACGATGTTGTTCAATACATCCTTAACCCTTTCGCGGCGATGGATTTCATCGGTGGGACCTACCATATTTTGGGTGTGAGTGTGAATTTTGATATGGGTGTTTGTGTTCTCTTCATCCACACTCGACACCCATACTCACACCCATTATACATATTTTGGAAATATTTCCGAAAACGATTGGTTAGGTTATGATTTCATCTTGTATAATATTATATCAAAACATGTTCTAACTCAGCCTCTTTCGATTGGTAAAAACCGCAGATCGCTAGCTATTGCCATTCTCGAGATATTCTTCCTATACTAATCCACCCTTAATTCTGACGCCGACAATAGTTTATCTATTATCATGCTTCTATATTCCTAATAATACATAACTTTAAAATTGAATATCTCTGTTCAAGTACCCCATAAGCAGCTCATATTTTAAATTCGTCAGTTTCTCGTTGAAAGCTTTCTTGCGATCCGAATATAGTCAATCATTTCACTCAACAGTTTCCACTCTTCCATTGTTGGTAGTGGGCAAATGCACATTTAATCGATAGAGTTCGTCCACATGCATCGAATGATATACATTTCGAAAACGGCATCAATAGTAAATTGAATATTTCTAGAGAATATTTTATTTTTTTATTTTGTACTATGATTAAAAACTGATACTTTTATTTATATTCAATTATTTTTGATGTTGATTGAAATTTTAAATACACTGTGCTACCGAGCTCACTGAACTCTATCTGATACACAGCGGTTCATACTCGACACATGTAACTGGTCGAATCACTCTGAAAGAAATTGAAATCGATTATTAACTTTCCTTTTATCAATTGACTAGACTTATTATTTATGAAATAATTCGTCTCATGCATACAAATTATTGGTGATAAGAAAATTTTGATAGACAAAAATTAATCTCTATCAAATTTTGTCTTACACTTTCGAATTAATTTAGTTAACTAACTTCTTTTGAATACATACCGACGATGCCAACTACTGCAAGAACTGCTGCCAGAACAATACAACATAATGAAGTCATTACAACAATGCAACAGGATCGACTTGTTATAGATGCTCTATATCTTCTAAATTACAATTGATCTAACAATGGGACCTTTTGTACTGGTTATCAAGAAGATTGACCATATTCGGATCAAATTATCACTTTCACCACCGAACTAACAAATTTAAATTATTACGTACTCATACCAATCCTGGTTTGAGATGTTCGATTTTTAATTTATTCAGTTTTCGTATGTGAACATAATATTATGAAAACTATTCGCATCCAATATTTTACACAATCGTCTTGTTTTCGAGGTAGAAGCTTTTTAGAGTCTTATTGAGACTTTATCGATGACACTGAGCTCACAATAGATTTAGCTTCTTCTATAAATTTGCTCATGCCAAAGTGCGAGAAACGCTGACAGTTTTATATAAAATCCCTAGATTATCAGTACTTGCGACATTATTTTATATGAAAACAATAGATTTACGACAAATGAAGATGAAGATTTGTAACCAAATTATAATAGCGAAGGGGTTTGTTTTTGCATCAAACATACATTAAAAGGGTTTGTTTCTAACAGCCATTAGTTGGACAGTAAAGATCATAAAATTTAAAATGTTCTGGATTTTGCCAATCTTACTAAATCTTTCTTTGATGATCACATCTTTTCCCTGTTTGACATGAGTAAACTTACAGAAGAAGCTAAATCTATTGTGAGCTCAGTGTCATCGATAAAGTCTCAATAAGACTCTAAAAAGCTTCTAACTCGAAAACAAGATGATTGTGTAAAACATTGGATGCGAATAGTTTTCATAATATTATGTTCACATACGAAAATTGAATAACTTAAAAATCGAATATCTCAATCCAGGATTGTTATGGGCACGTAATAATTTAAATTTGTTAGTTTGGTGGTGAGAGTGATAATTTGATCCGAATATGTTCAATCTTCTTGATAACCAATACAAAAGGTTCCATTGTAAATCAAAATAATGAAAATCTCAACTTAGAAAATACTTACCTTTTTTTCTTGTTATTTTCTGTAATATTTTCTCGTGTATTCATAAAGAATGGTAACGCACCAAGCCTTTTATTTCTTACAATAAATTCTTTTTTTATAGGTATGAGTTGATTTCTGCTTGAAATTGATGTTGAGTGATTGAATCTTGGTACGACGGATAAATCTTTGAACTAAAGAAAAGAATCAAGTACGCGAGCATTAAATAAATGCGCAAGAATAAAAATGATTTTCCATTTTTAATAAGAACTAGTATCGATTTGTTAATATCGTATTCAGTAGTTAATACCTGACTTTTCGAATATGGATTTTCTTATTATATAAAATCTGCTATTATGTTTTACAATACTCAAGCTAGACACCTTACACACATAAGAGTAATAAACTTTCGTTATAAAAGACTTCTAGTAGGCAAACATTTTCTCATCATATATTGTCTTATTTAACTAATACATTGATTTCATCGCTAACCGAATAACAGGATTTATTTCGAAAAGAAAATATCAGATGACCTTATTATGTGTTCAGATACTCTCAGCATATTCTACCAAGGGAAAAAAGTGGATCCTGGAATCTATCAGAATCCATTAGAATCCATAGCATTCGAGGAGCCAGGATCTGCTTTTCTCTCTTGTATTTTATTCTTCACTAATTGAAAAAAGCTTTTAGTGCTCAAAAGCAGAAATATTCATTATTTATTATGGAACATTTGAGATTGGTATATTAACTTCAAAATTTGGCCGATTCATATATAAGCGCATAAAAATATACGAAATTTAGATGTTATTTTTGTGTTCAGTTTTTTAGTGGGATTCTATTGGATTTAAATGGCTAAGATTCCATTGATTGCCTTTTGCAATGTGGTCATTCTATGGCGTGCTAATTCCTTTCTCTGTGATGTTTTTACGTTCGGATGGCTCAGGGTGTGGGTGTAGGTGTGGGTGTGGGTGGGTGTGGGTGTGGGTGTAGGTGTGAATATCTTCTCATCGCCCACACCCACACACCCAATTAGTTTGAGCCATTATAAAATAAAATTATCCAATTACACATCTGATTTCCAATGTAAGGGTGCTCTGTATTGTGTGCTTACAGACATCTGAGAATATTAAGAACGACAGCTATAGATTGTGAATCAGATGACAATTAATACTTGTATGTGTTCACGGAAATATCGATGAATGATGGACAAAGTATATATGATGAACTCACCAGTTGGACTTCGTCAACTCGTTCGTGTCCACTTGGTTGATTTCCATATGATATCGGAGTATGATGTATCTGTTATTTTAGATCGAGAAAAGTCTTCTATTACAGAGAAAATGTTCTTTTTACTTTGTTTGATGCACTAAAATTTGTTGTTCGGGCGGGACTTAGGTTGGCTTTGAACTGATTCATCGAAGGCATACTTGGTCGGCTCTGATAGTTTTCTAAACGGCTTATCCTTTGTATATGAACTGATGAATATCTTTGATCATTTTGATTCTTCGTCAGACCATCCATTAGTTTGTTGCTGCTTAAGCTTTGGTTCGTCTTTTGTAAATTAACAGACAGACTGTTCGTAGGTAATGCATTGTGCTATAAAAATAAAATATTTTTAGTATCCAATTGAGCAGACATGAGCGATAACATACGTGTAGTTTTTGCGTACTGGTACGACTCACCATTACTTTGCGGACTGATGGTTCCATTTGTACAATTATAGATTTATCTATCGTTTGAACAGTGTTTTAAACGTTTTAAATCTTGATAATATCAGTTTATAGGGAAATAGAGAATAACTCCTACATAAATTTATTCCCTAAACTGAAAGGATAGGGCCTAGAAACGGAAATTCATCTTGTCTATCTGTAACACAGTGGCACAAATGACCATTTCTATGGTCAAAATAACCGCTTCCATGGTACAAGTGACCGTTTTAATGGTCAGATCGGGTATTGTTATGGTATAAATGACCATCTCTATGGCACACATAATGATTTCATATTATTAAAAACACCTGGTTTTGCAAAAGTCCTTATCGTTACATATCAAGCCTACTCTTGCATTTTCTAGTATCTTCCTTCAAACACGCTTATACCTAGATTTGCTTATAAACATAGCTCAATGCTGTCAGTCTAGAGTCAAATGTATCGATTCTCGATACACTTTACTTGTTTCTATGAACTTTGAATAATGCTATTGATGTTTCAAACAGGATTAGATTGGCTAAAACTTTCTTCTTTATTTGTTTAACATATACATGACAATATTATGATAAGGCCTCTGGCAGCTCACTTTTCTATCAGCTGGTTTTATTTCGATGGAACAGTTCTATCAACAATGACAATTTAGTGATTCTATTCAGTTCTTCTTGCAGTAATCAAAAGTAGAGCTGATTATAGTGGTGGTGCCAGGATTTTTGGTCAAGGGAGGCTGAGTCCCCTTAACACTTTTGTTGGACCAGCTTTAGCTAGAAATTTTAAGTTTTCTGGCGAGGAAGCTCAGAGAAATTTTGGGGTGCTGAGCTTCCTCAGCCCTCTTCCTTGGCGCCGCCACTGGCGGATGATTAAACTCAGTCAAACAGAAGTGGGTCACTAATACCAGTTCACCTCTTTAATCGAGCACTGTCACATATTTAATCACGATCAACTTTGTCAGTAACCG